AATCTAAAAAGTCTTTATAATGCATCTCTTTGTGTCCTCAGATTGGAACCATAATAACTGCGTAGGAGCCAGATCTCCTTTGACAAAACTCTGTCTGTCTGAACTTGTACAGGAAGTTGCACAATATGTCATTTTGATTCAGTATCCCAAAGGCAAGATCAAAGTCCAACCTTTTTGTTCTCTTGAGTATTGTGCAAGCTTCATGATTAAGGAGGATGTGTAGTTAAATTTTTTTGCTTGGAGGAAAAGAGTTTTTAGCATACTCTCACTTTTGCTGTTTCTTCTTGTTCCTTTTCCTCTTTCACTTTTTATCATCTTTTGTGGTTAAGAATAGCTGTCCTTGTCTGACTTTTGAAATGTCTCCTGTAAAAAAGCAGTTGAGACTATGATTGTTGGTGCTTAAAAACATCAAACTTTTCACACACTTTTCAAGTCATTGGCAGATCAATTTTAGAGTTTCATATTCTCTCATATGACACTATTTTCATCAGAACTGATTTTGATCTTTTTTTCATAAAGCTTTAGGTTTTGTCTAGTAAAAAGGACGTGTGACCTCATGTTGGAATCCCCCATACTCCTGGAAACCACACATCTGGGTATATACAGATAGCAGACAATGTATACACCACTTATCTCTTTGTTTTTATTCATTAACTTTTTTTTTTTAGATATTCATAATTTATTTAAAACTCGCTCGAAAATACAATTCCAAACCATGGGTTCTATTTGACATATTTTATAGATTTTTGAATGTTGTTGTACATTGAAATGTGGCTATGAACTACACTGTGATTGTTAGTGATTTAAACTGAAAGAGAATGTAAAAAGTTATATTATCATATACAGTGATTAAAGACACATAATTTAGCTGTAAAATATTTGTTACCACTAAAGAGTATGCATTTGTATTATACTCAAGAAAGCAATACATTGTCAGTAAAATATTTTAAAATATATATTTTAAGTAAAAAAGTATGAATTCCCTTATAATTAATGAGTAAAAGGATATTCACAGAATTCCCAGCATGAACCATCTTTATTTAGAATGAAAAAAAGTTGTTTCTTAATTTTATCATCATTCATGTACATTGTGGTGTTTTCTGTTGTAATATGTTATTCAATTAATGTTTGTTGCATTAATTTAGTGTGATGTGTGTTACTGTAATGGCGTTTTGTGTGAGCATGAGAGAATGAGAATGCTGAATGAGAATGCTGAACTCAGATATTAACAGTGATGATAACGGACAGCTGTATGTTTAAATGTTATTTCCTCTTAAATTCTTGGTGTGTGTCTAACTGCCATTAAAGCATACAAAGTCTTCTTCCCACACATGAAACTCAAACTAAGGTGTATATTAAGGTTACCAAATTTTTAAGATTACTTCACAGGCCGCTAGAAGTGGTAAGGGCAGAAAAGCATGAATGAAGATGAACAGGTTCCACAATGATGTTTGGAAATTTTCAATGGTGTAAAAATTTGACAGCTTATACATGTAAGCTGTATAACACACACACATGCGCAAATAATAATAAATATGTGTGTGTGTGTGTGTGTATAAACATTTTAAAAAATAGTAAAACAAAAAAAAGTGTGAGAACACAGAAGTAAGTATGGACTAGAAGAGAGTTCACAATAATTACATGTCTTTATAGTCTATTTTTATGAACTAAATCACCATAATAATCAGAAGCAAAGAACAAAAACACATGCTTGGATATCAACTAGTGCATGACAGGAATTATGGCAATTCTGGGAATTCTCACATGACTTGGGAAATTCTTCATTGTCTTTTTAAGGATGTGTCTGAGACAACACATGCACCCTCTTTCCCTCTAGAGGCGTGAGCCACTGGAACTGTGAGTTAATAATACCAAATGGCAAATCAGTCACTGATGTTTGTTATTTTAGATTGTTTTGGTTTTGGAGATATTTTCCTCACTGGGAAATTTTTGTAGCAAAATTACAATCTGAATCTGACTGATAATTTCTCCTTTTTTATTTTATTGTTTTCTGTTAATAGAAACAGTTCCAGGGCCACAGTTGCTAGACCCAAGCCCACAACATAGTCATATTCCATTATTTGTAAAGCACGATTTAAAAAGATTGCAGTGCATGTCATTTTGACAGTTATTTGGCATGGTTTCATAATGCACATACTGTATGTGATTCATTAACTTTTTACATTAATAAGATAAATAATATACCCATGTGTAATTTTATTGTCTTATGTTAGTAATTATTTGTTGGTTAAATACTTGAATTAATAACATGTTAATATATAATAGCTAACTTCCCCAAATCACTTTATTCAGACGTTATTCTGAGAATAAATTGTACCATAAATTGTGACAGTTACTTTTTGTCACAAATGTATTCTTAATATTCAAAATGAAAACACAAACACAGAAATATTATTTACTTCATAGCTTTATTGCCATTAGTTTTGTTAGATTTGTTCTTCATGTTCCAGTTTAAAACATTCATCAAAACTGTCTTATAAATAAATAAAAATATATTAGGTTAAGGTTAACATATGTATCTCACATACTCCTTAGACATAGCATAGTCATATCTCTGATAATTTTTCTTAGGCTACAGTCACACTTAAATACAGACATTAAATAAATAAATGAGTACATTAATTTAACACGCATGAATTATAAAGCAACTTTTAAAAAAAAGTTTTAGAGTCAAAGGTATTCATTCATGGAATGGTAATGCACTTTTTTACAAAAAAGTCAGATGAAATCAGTTCATGTAGTTTGTTCCAGTTGCTCAGTTCATTCAGAGTGCAGTGTCCCAAAGAGCTTGTCCCAGTGAGTGAAATATGGAGCATAGTTGGACTTGAACTTCTGATGGTGGACATCATGGTGCGGAGCTCCTCCATACAGACCAAAAGGCACCAGTCTGTGTGTCGCCCATGGCAGGTCATAGCCACAGTGGTCCTCAACTGACAGCCACATGTTCAGCATATGGAAAAGCATCTCTGTCATAGGATGAACCCCCAGTAACATGGGATTCACTGCAGCGAAGAAACCCAATGACAGAGTCTCCCACGCCCCCGAATACTCAGTGGCCAGAGCGAAGGTGGACGTGTATTTGTGATGCACCTTATGGAAAGTGCAGTAGAGCCAGGGTACTTTGTGATGCAGAAGATGCCATACAAAGTACTGGAAGTCAAAGAGAAGCAGGCAGGCAGCAAGGTCCCAGATGACTCGCAGAAGCCCTGGTGCCATCACTGGGTAGCTGACAGGTCTCCAGTACCAGTGCAGGACACTCAGTGGGAAGATGTACACGGCATGGTTGTAGAGGGAGAGTGCGAGGCAGCTCCACATCATCTTCCAAGATACGCTGGTCTTCTGTTGAATTTTGTATCTCCTTATCCATGCTACCCTAGATGATAGGGCATCCAGAACGACAAAAGGCAGGCAGAAGCTTAGGTAGACTGTAATAGAGAAGAAAACTGGGAAATATGGAGACCTAAGCACGGCCTCGTACTGCAGAATGCTGTCCCAGATGTACTGTAGTCCAAACATTTTTATTTATTTTCAGATCTCTTTCTGAATGGCAGCACATGGGTACCGTGGCTTTTATAAAGTATAGAAGTCCCGCCCTCTTTCCACTAGGCTACTCGCGCTGCAAGTCCCCTAAATGGCTCTTCCTGTTGGAATTTCCCGGATATTTTGCGGTAGTGTGAGAAGGTAGGCTATCTGGTGTCATGTTTATCAGATAGGCAACTATATAAATCTATAAATATAAAAATCCTGCAATACTTAAGAGACTAAAATGGTTTATTAGCCTACAAAAATATTATAATATAAACGATAATGGAAAGAGTGTATTGAATCACAGTGCAGAAAGAATAACTAAACAAACAGCACAAAAGAGTAAGGTAAGATTCAGAACCTGTAGACGAACTTACCTATAGGAAATGGCACTGTAGCCTACCAGTTATTCTTTTTAGATAGCAGGTCAAGCAGTTAATCTCGCCCAGTCCCACTTGCTATTGATATTCCAGATTCCGATTTTTTTAAACCTGACAAAATATCTATTAATCCTACAAAATATGACAGTTAATATTCAATTTCCGTGTGCCACTCTTAACTTCTGTAAGAGTATCTCGAGGAACAGCAACGAGACTGACAGTGGAACAGTTTTCCCAGTTTTATCAAGTAAACACCGCCATCTGCTGTTTATAACAGGCAAGTGCTGCTGCGACACTCAAACGTGTTGTCAGGATTTTTTGCCACAAGCGACTACACCGTTGCCTTCTTCCCGCAGTACTCACCCTTCTCAAAGTACTCAGGAGGACAGAAATTTGCTGTCCCTGGAGGAAAGAGTTTGTCACATGCAGGGCAGGACTTGGCCCCTGGGCATGAGGTTATGTTTGGGCCCTATACCTACACTACAAATGCCCTCAAATAGAACATCATTATGGAGTAACACAAAGTACACAAACATATGCTTTGAAGTTCATAAATAGTACAATTAATATGCAACATGTCTAGGCTTCGAGCAAATAACTTTGAGCAAAAAAACAAAACAAAAAAAAAACCCAGAGATGTTGGCTTATTAGTATTATAAAAGTTATAGTCATATCTGTGTCCACTTATGTCAGGTTCTTATTTAATCAATAAATTCAATCGAATAGAAAGACATGCTGGCTATTAACAATCAAATGAAATCACTATCAACAAAATTCATAGATGGATTGTGCATAAATGTTAAGTTTAAATATAACATTTTAATGTAGAAATATTAAATGATTGCAAAAATGAAATAAAGCCCAACGGTAAGTCCGGCCATGGTTGTCACACATCTAGGACAGTTTGTTTGCTTGACAAATGTGTGATGGAAGGATAACCAAACTAAGCAATAACATTTTTAACTAAAACTACACAACACTGCATTAAAAATGCATTTCATAGAAACACTACAAAATGTCACGGCCCGGTACGAAACACAGAGGAGAAACAGGGTCTGGGTCCACATGCAGGTGAAAACCTTTTTAATGAACAGAAAGGCCAACAGGGCAAAATAAAACAGATACGAATACATTGATAATACAGCCAGGCAGAGTGGTGAGTGAGAGGAGAAGATATAGTCTGTGACAATGGGGAACAGCTGAGGGTGAGTGTAATGAGTGAATGACTCAACAGGTGTATAGAGTTTGGGGAATTAGTGTAATGAGTGAACAGGTGTATGGGGTTTGGGGAATGGAGTCCGGGAGATGGCGCCCTCTGGAGGAGAGAGGGAGAAACGCAGGGCCCAGATTCATGACACAAAATGCGAGAATAATTATGGCTTGAAATTTACAGGGATTGCCTTACAAGGATAATTTTGTAGCGAAATAAATGAAAAATACAAATCCTGTGAAGGCAGCTGCCTAGGGCCGCTTTCTACGGTGACCGAGAAGTGCAAAACAAATCACAATTCTGAAAACAAAATAACAAATTACAAACGCAAATGCAAGTCTAAAAAACAAAATAACAATTCAGAAAACACAACAACAATTCAGAAAACATTATAACAAGTCAGAAAACTCAATGACAAATTCGAAAACAATATAACAAGTCAGAAAACACAATGACAAATCTGAAAAGAAATTAACAAGTCAGAAAACACAACGACAAATCAGACAAACCGGAAGAGGTAGGTATAGTTTGAGACAGCTTCATTGGTTTGGGATTACTCACCGCTGACTGGACGAGACATCTGTCAATCAACGTATACAGAGAAGAACCAGCCGAAGAACAGAAGAGTCGTGGCAGAAAGTTCGGAGATGGTATTAAATTAGCTCAGTTTAAATGTATTGTATGAATTGCCCTTACTATGGAATAAAAAATACGGGGTGTCTATTTACATTTAGTTAAAAGTGGCTGTAAAACATCAGCTCCAGTGGTGCAAATGGATAAATGTGTGCCCTTAGCTTTTTGACGCGATCGACCGGGTTCGATCCCGCCTTTTGCCGAACTTTTTTTTTCCTCCCTCCGCAAGCGGATTTCCTTCACTCATACAAAACTGGACGTGTGCTTTTAACTATACATTGTTTTTTTTGTATTTATAATATATTATTAACATCGTCGTGTATACACTCTGTATGTTATAATGAAAGGGTTCGATTGTGATCAGCACAGAACAAAAACTGGTGTGTGTCCCAGCCATTAGGTAAACCAGCATACATTCATGAGGATGATGAAAGTGTTTTAACTTGAGTAAAGCCCCCAGACCCTCCCCACCTTTTTTGAGGCAGTGCCCCAGCCTAGCCTGGCCTGACATAAAGGATTTGAACAGTTTACCAGACAGACTCCATGATCGGATCAGATTTTGTCCACAAAAGTATCATGCCACATATATCAGCCTTCTGGGTAAGACTGGGAGTGAGCTGGACTACCTTTAAAAGGCTGAATCGGCATTAAAGGAAGACCGGCGAAAGAAAGCTGAGTTCCTTGTGACATTCTCCAGCTTTGCATACACTATCACTTGCAGAGGCTAAATGATGTGGAAGATTACTTGAAAAAGGTGAAAAGTAGATGCAAGGACATACCAGGTTCATCAGATTACTCCTGCAACTTGCCCGTATGATGAGAAAGCCTGAGCCTTTGCCCTTTTGAGACTTGGAGGAAGGTTCTATGAGCAAGCAAAAGAGAGTTTCTCTAAGGCTCTTGAGGCAGATCAAGACAACATCTTGTTTAATGTAGGCTACGCAATAGTGCTTTACAGGATAGACGGCATGAACAAAGCAGATGACAGTGGAACAGTCACCAAACAGCTAAGAAAGGCTCTCAGCCTGGAGCCCACAAACACTGAGATCATGGTACTTTTGGCTCTGAAACTCCAGAGGTCAAGGAGACAGGAAGCCCAGAACCTTATAAAAGAGGCCCTCAGATTGTCCCCTGACATCCCACAAGTAACCAGATATGTGGCTAAATACTTCAGGGCAGAGGGCTCCATTAAATAATGACTGTCTGTCCTCACTAGGGCAGTGAAGCAGGCCCCAAACTCTTCCTTCCTGCACCATCAAATCGGCCTTTGCCATAAACAGCTGCTTATTCAGATGTTGGAGGAGAGGAGGCCCGGGAGAAGCGTTCCTGCTGCTCAGAAAGTTGCTAAGGTGATTGAATGTATCCAGCACTTCTCAAAGGCTGTAGATCTGAAGCCTAACAATATTTATGCCAAAGTGAATTTAGCAGAGGCCGAAAGCCGGCAACTTGAAAAGGCAGAGAAGATCTTCAGCAGCCTGATAGATGACAAGGCTCTTGGTGAGTCTGATAAGCAGCACTGCTACACATCCTATGGTGTATTCCTGCTCTACAAGAAAAAGGATGAAGACAAAGCAGTCAGTCAGTTCAAGTCAGCATACATGATTCCTGTTGACAACTATGAAAGGAAACAAGCTGGCAAGAAGCTCAGACTAATTGCAGAAAGGAATTTCAACACCAAGCAGAAATTCAGAGAAGCATTCGAGATTTTGGCTTTTATATCTTCTGAAGACAAGCAGGAGATGCAAGCAAAGGAGTATCTGCGGAGAGTCCATCAGCACAGCCCATACTGGTGAGCTGTCTAAAAGCTTTGCTAAGGGACTGAAATTGAACTAATTTCTTACTTGTAAATACATTTATCAAAAAACTTGCTTTTAATGTTCACTTATTCATTTACATGAATTCTTTCATCAGATGGTTGTATCCAAAGCAACAAATGAAGAACACAATTCATAATAAGAGCTAACAATGTTTGGAGTACACAATTTCATGTATAAGCTAGTACAAAAAAAACGAAAATAAAATGCAGAAAAGTAAACATATATTGTCAGTGGCTGTCAGAGTTCTGCTGTTGTACTTTGGACTGAATTGCTTGCATGTGTTTATTTCCTGTTGTACAAACGTCTTATACTTTTATGAAGGCTATTATTGTTTATTTAATATTACTGTTAAATAAATAATAGTAGTATCTAATAATAGTATTTGAAATCGAGAAACGTTTTGGTGTTGATGGTGATTTTAACATTAGTGCAGGTTGTTACACCATTAGATGGCGACAAGACTGTCTTTATTAGTGAGTCAGTAGCAAACAAAATTTTCAGCTTTTCAGCTTTCATCTTGTATGTGTGTGTTTGTATATAGTCCATATGTCACTATATATAAATACAATATATATATATATATAAAATATCAATAAACACAAAAAAAATATATTTTCACTTTACAGTTTTGTTTTGTCATTGTCTCTTAGCTGAAAATGCCAGTAAAAGACAAAAATAAATATCCAAAAGAAGCATGACAACTAGACTCCAGATGACTGGCAATGGTTTAGACCAGCCTTTATTTAACTACCAAATATTACACATCATTTGAGACAGCCTTAAGCTCTCAGTCTTTTGCTGTTTCTCTTTCCCTCTCTCTTCAGCCAAGGTTTCAGTTTCCATTCTGAGTCTGACACTCCCATCTCTAGGAGAGGTAAATAAAGCCTGCACCACCTTCCTCATCAAACAGGTTCTGAAACATTTATCATACAGACGTCCTAGATAAGGTAAGTGCATCCCTACAATTAC